CTATCAGGAAAAATCTTTGACATTATTCAATGATCTCAAGAGAAGTACTCTTAATATGCTTCAACAAAAGTTTAATTAAAAAACTAAACAAAACAAATAAAACAATTTATGCATAGTGACAATGCAGAAAAGTGAAATATATTTTAAAACAAATTATTGTTTCTCCCACAATTTTATAATTACATTATAATGATCACATTATAAGCCAGGTTCCTGTATTACTACTCAAAGGACATCTGCCTACTGAACTGGAAATAATTTTGGACCTTGTACAATCAAGTAATTAATTTGCTTTGCATGGGTTGACACACTATGAGTTACAAATCAAATCTTGTCTACTGTCTTTTTATAAATAAAATGTTTAGTTATTTATAAATAAACAGAGCCATGCCTATTGATGTATTGCCTAGGGCTGCAGGCATGCTAAGACATAGAATTAAAGAGTTAAGATTGAGACTATATTGCTTTCAAAGCCTAAAATATTTACTAGATGAATCTTTACAGTAAAAGTTTGCTGACACCTTTCTATTAAATCAAGTAAGGAGATTGAGATATTTATATGTTAAGATATGGCAGATTCTTAAACAATATATATGTTATTTTTCTTTTTTAAAAAATATTAACTTTTTTATTTCTTCAACCATTTACATTTTCATTGCTCTTAAAATTTCAAATTGATAGAATGATTTTAAAAAAGACTTTAGATACAATTAGACATTTCTGAATTAAAATGCACTCAGTTCATATTTCCATATGTTTATAATAGCAAAATTTAAAGAATAATAAATGAAGGTACCAATATGAGTTTTATTCATACCAGAAAAGAGGTGGCCAAAGCTCTCCCTGGGCAGATGCTAATGAATGCCCTTTCTTTCTCCTTTCCTTCCCTCCCTTCCTCCTTCCCTCCCTCCCTTCCTTTCTTTCTTTCTTTTTGCTTTTTTTCAAAACATTTATTGTTTCATTTGGTTTAATGCATGGGAGAGGGCTCCAGGGTGGTTAAAAAAATGGCTAGTAGTTTCGGGGAGAGGCTCAGGAAAAAGCCAGACACCAGGGGATGCAGAGGGGCCCTCAAAGGCCTCTGGGCTCCACAGGCTCCTAGTCGTGCTGGAGGGTGAGCCTTTCGAAGAGTTACACGCTCAGCCCAGCCCGGGGGCCGGCAGCCTGCGGAGGTTAGTCAGGTGTCACCCATCTTCTTGATGAGTTTCACCTCCTCACCCCGGAAGTGGTTCTCCAGGAAGTCACAGAGCTGAGGGTCTGTGCGGGTAGAACCCAGGGCCTGCAGATCCAAAAGGGCCTGGTTCAGGTTCCTTGCCAAGGCCAGGGAGGCTTCCATGGCGTCCTGAGTTTTGCCCACTCGCCTTGTGGAGGCCTCAGCACGTCCTGGAAGAGAATGCGGCCACCGCGCTGTTTTTGCAACTTTAAGAGATGCTCAGCGCCCTGGCACTTCTTCTCCGCCAACTCCCAGAGGAAGTGACCCACACTCTCGAGAGCCACATCATCATGGTTGAAATAGAAGCCCCGAGAGAGGTAGGTGTGGGAGGCCCACAGATGCAGGTTGGCAGGGCGGTTGATGGCAGCCTCCACCTGGGTGGAATAATTCTGACCAATTTGGGAGCTCATCATTGTTCGGCAATAAAGAGTTAAGGTAGAAAAAAAATGGTGTGTTGGCTGGTCTCAGAGGTGATTCTGAAGGTGGTGACTAGATAAGACGCTGGAGAGTGGCTGGAGGCTGGAAGAAGGGGAGGGAGTCCTTGGTCTGTTCCGTCCAAACATTGTTGAAGCAAGATATAGCTCCGTGACTGCTGAGGGGACTTGAATGCCTTTATTTTAGGGCAGTGGTTCTCAACCTTCTGGCCCTTTAAATGCAGTTCCCCATGTTGTGACCCAACCATAACATTATTTTCGTTGCTACTGTTATGAATCGTAATGTAAATATCTGATATGCAGGATGGTCTTAGGCGACCCCTGTGTGAAAGGGTCGCTCGACTGCCACAGGTTGAGAACCGCTGCTTTAGGGCCCCATGGTTGGTATCATCCAAAGTGATGACTGCTTCTTGTTTTTGCATATGACTGTCAGCTACCATGGGACAGTGACAATTAGAAGCAGCAGGACCTCCAGGCGTTTCTCTGTAATTATCCAATCGTGGAGTGTTTACATGGGTAATACATGGAGGTGTCTTTTTTATCCAATAATATTTATGAATATTACTTTTAAATAAAATAGCAAATGAAAATGTTATTTTTCTTTTTTTAAAATTCTTTATTGTTGAAAGTATTACGTATGTCTCTTTTTCCCCCCAATTGACCTCTCTCCGGCCGTTCCACCCTCCAGCACATGCCCTCACCCTCCTACTATCTGAGTTCCATCCAAGCTGTTGCAAATGGTAAGAATGCCTTCTTTTTTACAGCAGTGTAATATTCCATTGTGTAGATGTACCAGTTTTCTAATCCACTCATCTGCTGATGGGCATTTAAGCTGTTTCCAAATCTTGGCTATGGTAAATTGTGCTGCTATGAACATAGGGATGCATATAGCATTTCTGGTTGGTGTTTCTGTTTTCTTGGATTATATTCCTAGAACTGGGATTACTGAGTCAAATGGAAGTTCCATTTTTAATTTTTTGAGAAACACATACTGTTTTCTACAGTGGCTGCACCAGTCTGCTTTCCCACCAGCAGTACAAGAGGGTTCCTTTTTCTCTGCATCCTCTCCAGCACTTGTCGTTTGTGGATTTGTTGATGATAGCTATTCTGACAGGTGTGAGATGGTACCTCATGGTTGTTTTGATTTGCATTTCTCAGATGATTAGTGACTTTGAGTGTGTTTTCATGTGTATCATGGCAGAAGGTCTTCTGTATGTCCTCTTTCGAAAAGTGTCTAGTGTGTATCATGGCAGAAGGTCTTCCGTATGTCCTCTTTCGAAAAGTGTCTATTTAGGTCCTTTGCCCATTTTTTGATTGGATTGTTGATCTTCCTTTTGTTAAGTTGTATGAGTTCCCTATACATTTTGGAGATTAAACCCTTATAGGAGATAACATTGGCAAATATGTTCTCCCATGCAGTGGGCTTTCTTGTTGTTTTGTTGATGGTTTCTTTTGCTGAGCAGAAGCTTTTTATCTTGATGTAGTTCCATTTGTTCATTTTCTCCTTAGTTTCCATTGCCCTAGGGGCTGTGTCGATAAAGATATTGCTACAACAAATGTCTACTATTTTGCTGCCTATGGCTTCTTCTAAGATTTTTATGGTTTCCCGCCTTACATTTAAGTCCTTTATCCAATAAATGTTATTTTTCAATGTCAATAATAAATGTAAGCAGTGAGTAGCATTGCGCTCATATTTAGAAGAGCTGTACTATTTTAAGAAAATTGTTTTCATGAAAAATGAAGCTCAAAATATAATGTTAAGGAAAGGATAGTAGGCAGTATAACAATAATATGATACATATTGTATAAGTTTTATATCAAGGTACACAGTAATAAATATATATTTACATAGAGAGGTAAAACCAGAAATACAATCACGGTTGAGAATAGTTCTCTCTAAATTTTTGACCAATAGTTGACTTTTTTTTGTACATTTCTGTATTTTATAGGTATTTAAAGACAAAATGTTTTACATCTGGTTTAATATTTTCAAAAGATTGATAGGTTAAAGTTGATGATGAAATTATTCCCCAATCTTTAGAAGAAATTATATGCAATCAAAATATCACATGAGACATTACTTCATCTAGCTGCTCCGTCTGTGGTCTCCAAGGCAATACTTCAGTGATATTCTCCAGGGCTAACATCCCTAGGGTCTGGGTGGCATATAAGTGTAACACTGCTTGGTGCTAGGATTCAGCTTTTTGGTTTCCCCTTTTCTCTGTCATCTCCACGTTTATTTATAATAGATTAGAGGAAATATCATTTCCCTTACATATTACAACACACTGTAGACCCCTGTTAATATTTTCACAGGTTTGTTACCATATATATATATATTTTTTTAAAAGTTGAATTCTCAGCAGGAGCTTTCCTGGAATTCATTAGTTTTAGCAAAGAAGCTTTAGCAAATGAATAAGTCAAATTCTTCTGCGCTCAGGGGAGTTTATTCAATCTTATTTTATTTCACTTTAGAAAGAAGATAATGTATTCCAGTAATCTTTGCAGGATGCAAACATGTGTGTCAATCTAATTGTCAGGATATCTACTTAGCCAACTGGAAGTATTTGAATATCCACTGACCTACATAACTAGGAAAGTTTCAGTTTTTGTTGATCACAGTATTCTTATCCTTCTGTTTATATGCACAAGCTTTAATTTTAATGACAAACAAGAATTATATGTTGTACTATATTATTTGTAATTGTATATATAATTCCTCAAGATAATTCTCAGAAGGGACAGATTTGGGGGTGAGATCCATATTTTATAATTTCATGCTTTCTAAAATGCCTATAACAGTGTTGAGCACAGAGTGGCTATAAAATGAGAAAGCCACTCCAGGTTAGATGTCCCTGGAAAGAAGGCAACAAGTGTGCACAGCACTGGAGCTCTCAGTCAACAAGCATGTTGACACTTCAGGGGCCTAAATGAACTTTGGGGACTGTGAACTTTGGCCCCAAGTCTGATGGTATAAATATAGAAGGCAGGAGGTAGAGTGAAAAGCTACACACGTGGAAAAGATATGTGCGTAGGAATGAGATGAATATATATCAGAAATTATATTTATCTTTCTTTAAATTTATTGGGGTGACATAGGTTAGTAAAATTTTATAGGTTTCAAGTAAGCGATTCTATGGAACATCATATGTATATTTCACTGTGTGCCCACCACCTAAAGTCAAATATTCTATTACCATTTATTTAATTCCCTTTACCCTTTATTACCCCTCAATCCCTTCTGTGTCTATGAGTTTTTATTTTTCTTGTTTGTTCACTTGTTGTTTTCAGTTTTATATCCCACATATGAGTGAAATCATATGGTTCTTATCTTTTCCTGACTTATTTCACTTAGCATGATATTGTCAGGATCCATCCATATTTTTGCAAATGGCAGTATTTCATTTTTTCTTATGGCTGAGTAGTATTCCATTGTATACATGTAGCACGTCTTTATCCAATCATCTATAGAAGAACACTTTGGTATGTTCATCTTTGATGATGACTATTTCCTTACCAACCCTGGGATGCTCAGACATTGTTACAATAGCCATAGAGAATAAATATAGATTTTGGAAAAAGTGAGCAAAAATGTGCTCAGTTATGGATTCGCATTCAATGAGTTTTATGTGAAGTTGAAAAAAAATTCAGGAAATCATAATAAATATGATGGAAGATCAAACCACAAGTATTAAATAAAAGGAATTTAAAGAAAAAATTAAAGAAGACTAGGTGCAAGGAGATGTGAATGATATGGTTATATATGTAGGAAACCTTTCAGTGCTGCCTGTGATCATGGAGGAGAAAGGCGTGAAAACTATGGAGTGTTTAATTTCAGCTCATAACAAGACCTAGAATTTTGCAGAATTCTACATGGAATGACTTTCCTTTTATGCCTAGTGCCTTGTTAGGTTTTAGTGAGCAGTCAGGAAAGGGCGTTGAGAATAACTGCTTATAAAGACAGAAAAAGGCAGTTGAAGCATTTTGGAAGAGCATAAAACATTTAAAAAAAATCCATTGAATCCCTTTTCCCCCTAAATGTCCTTATTTTATGCTACTTCAGGAAGATAAGGTCCAATGGGATTTTACTATGAGAACTTGTTTTGTAGGACTCAAGATAAGTCTCAGTGCATTGTGAGTTTACAGAGTGGTCCTGATTTAATAGGCAAATCTAACTTCTTTAGTATTACTATAAGCCTTTATCCCAAAGGGAAATTTAGAAATAGCTCTAGCAACAATAGAGAGAGAAAAAAGCAAAATTGTAATGACCATTTTGTTAGATCATTAATTTCCTTTTGAGTTCTAACTTCTCCTTGTTAAATTGGTTAGTCAGGGAAGAAATTACAGAAACTTATGATATGTATTTTCTCCAAGACAAGCATTTTAACTGAACTCATATTCAGTTAAAAAGCTAGATTGGTCCTTCTCACAATGCTAATTGTCTCTGAGGATACCGAGTCTGAGCATTTAAAATATAACAGAGAACTCTATTTTTGTTCTTCATCTCTCAACTACCTTCTTTTATTATTTTACCTGCACAAATGTCATATTCACTCTAGAATTGTGATATTAGTCAAATCTAGCTTCTGAAATAATATAGCAAGTGAAAGCAAGTATTTTCCAAAACATTTTGTATATTCACTATGTCTCTCTACATTTGCTCATTTTAACTTGCCTTATTCAAATTTTGCTTCTCATTTCTCTGAGTCAACTTTCCTGTTCTGTCCACAGGAACCAAGAAAACCAGAGTGCTGACGTGACTTTCATCCTTTTGTGTTTCTCAGAATATCCAGAACTCCAAGTGCCCCTGTTCTTGTTATTCTTAGCCATCTACACAGTCACTGTGCTGGGGAACCTGGGCATGATCATGGTTATCAAGATCAATCCCAAACTCCACACCCCTATGTACTACTTTCTCAGTCATTTGTCTTTTGTTGATTTCTGTTACTCTACAGTGGTTACACCCAAACTATTAGAAAACGTGGTTGTGGAAGACAGAACCATCTCCTTCACAGGATGCTTCATTCAGTTCTTCTTTGCCTGTGTATTTGTGGTGACAGAAACACTCATGTTGGCCGTGATGGCCTATGACCGATTTGTGGCCGTGTGTAACCCTCTGCTCTACCCAGCAGTCATGTCTCAGAAGCTTTGCTCCCTCTTAGTGGGTGCATCATATTCTTGGGGTATAGCCTGTTCCCTGACCCTTACCTACTTTCTATTGGAATTATCTGTCAGAAGAAATAATTTCATAAATAACTTTGTGAGCATGCTGCCATTGTCTCTGTGTCTTGTTCTGACCCCTACATTAGCCAGAAGATCATTTTAGTTTCTGCCACTTTCAATGAAATAAGTAGCCTGATGATCATTCTTACTTCATATATTTTCATTTTTATCACAGTCATGAAGATGCCTTCAACTGGGAGGCGCCACAAAGCCTTCTCCACATGGGCCTCCCACCTGACTGCCATCACCATCTTCCATGGGACCATTCTTTTTCTCTACTGTGTGCCTAACTCCAAAAATTCCTGGCTCATGGTCAAGGTGACCTCTGTCTTTTACACAGTGGTCATCCCCATGCTGAATCCACTGATCTACAGCCTCAGGAACAAAGATGTGAAAGAGACAGTCAGGAAGTTATTCAACACTAAATTGTCCTGTGATGAGTGTAAAGCTAGAATATGAGTTATTTCTTTTTGAGAGTATTGGTAAGAGTTATTCATTAGTAAATCTGTACATGAATCTATGGTAAGTTTGCAATTGATAGTCCATTATCTATTTACCCTAATATTTAGTAAAACAACTTTAAAATTGCAAATTATATTAGGGATGAAAGTTCTGATCACTTAAAACTAAGTTTTTGATTAAAAAATTGGAGTATAGAGTTTTCTGTGATAGTATACATGACCAAGGTCAAATTTTGTCCAGGTCAAATGATTGTCCAGGTCAAATTTCAGTTCAATTTAAGCCATGTGAAGTGTGGGATTTTCGAGGTGATGTGAGCATCATAGTCTACAATGTAGTAATTTTACAATTTACTTATAGATTATTTTGGATATTCAAAATGCATATTATATTAATCTCTGATTAAATATATTGTTTTTTTGTTTTCAATATTATTTCTTTTATGTTTTCTTTTTGCTTAGGTCAACTCAGTGCTAGGAACTTCAGTGTAATGTTGAACAAATAGTAAAACTGTGCATCCTTGACTTTCTGATGTCACAAGAAAAGCACTGAATATTTTATATTTAAAATGTTGTTTGCTATGTCTTCATAGAACCCTTTCCCCCAGATTAGCAAAGTTATGTTTTTTATTTGTATTTTTTTTTTTTTTGGTGAGGGTTGAACTAAGCTACTTTTTTCTTCATTTTAACTCTTAACATTTTAATATGACAACTTACATTTTTTTTAAATATATATATTTTATTGATTTTTTACAGAGAGGGAGAGAGATAGAGAGTTAGAAACATCGATGAGAGAGAAACATCGATCAGCTGCCTCCTGCACATCCCCCAGTGGGGATGTGCCCACAACCCAGGTACATGCCCTTGACCGGAATCGAACCTGGGACCTTTCAGTCCGCAAGCCGACGCTCTATCCACTGAGCCAAACCGGTTTCGACGACAACTTACATTTTTTGAATTTTCTAATATCAAACCAATTTTTTTCTGAGAAAACAAATTTAAATGTCATATAATAGACTTTCCTATTACTTGATTAGATTAATGTGTCAATATTTTATTTTATTTGTTTTAAAATCATTTTTATTTTTAAATTACAATTGATATACATTATTATATTAGTTTTTGGTGTACAACCCACTGATTAAACATTATATAGCTTACTAAGTGATCATCCTGATAAATCTTGTGCTCATCTGACACAATACATAGTTATTAGAATATTATTGACTATATTCTCTATGGTGTACTTTACATCCCCATGACTATTCTGTAACAACTAATTTGTACTTCTTCATCCCTTCACCTTTTCATCCATTGCCTCAACCTCTCTCTCATCTGGCCACCACCAAAATGTTCTCTGTATCTATGAGTTTGTTTCTGTTCTGCTTGTTTGTTTATTTTTTTAGATTCAATTATTGATATATATGTATTTGTTGCCATTTTATTGTTTATATTTTTGATATATATTTTTCTTCTTCCTCTTAAAGAATACTCTTTGGGTAGAGTAATCTTGGTTATAGGTATTTGCTTTTCATCACTTTTAATATTCCTTGCCAATCCCTTCTGGCCTGCAAAGTTTCTGTTGATGAATCAGCTGACAGTCTTATGGAAGCTTCTTTATAGATTACTAACTGCTTTCCTCTTGCTGCTTTTAAGATTCTCTGTCTTTAACCTTTGCATTTTCATTATGATGTGTCTTGGTTTGGTGTGGGCCTCTTTGGGTTCATCTTGAGTGAGACTCTCTGTGCTTCCTGGACTTGTATGTCTTTTTTTTTCACCAGGTTAGGGAAGTTTTCTGTCTTTATTTTTTTCAAATATGTTTTAAATTTCTTGCTCCCTCTATTCTCCTTCTGGCATTCTCATGATGCTAATGTTGGGACACTTGATATTATCCCAGATGCTTTTTACCCTAGCCTCATTTTTTTGGGATTCTTTTGTCTTTTTCCTGTTCTGATTGGGTATTTTTTGCTTCCTTATATTCAAAATCACTGATTTGGTTCTGGCTACATTTACTCTACTGTTGATTCCCTGTAAATTGTCATTTATTTCAGTTAGTATATCCTTCACTTATGGCTGGTTCTTTTTTTAATACTGTTGAGGTTCTCACTAAGTTCATTGAGCATCCTTATAACCAGTGTTTTGCATTCTGCAATTAGAAGATTGCATGTCTCAATTTTGTTTAGTTATTTTTTCTGGAGTTTTGCTCTCTTATTTCATTTGAGACATGTTTCTTTGTCTCCTCACTTCGGCAGCCTCCCTGTGTTTGTTTGTATGTATTAGGTAGAGCTTCTAAGTCTCCCAGGCTTGGTAGAGTAGCCAGATGTAGTAGTTCTATAGGATCCAGTAGCACAGTCTCCCTTATCACCCAAGCTGAGCACTATAAGTACACTCTTGCCCCATATAGGCTGTGCACACCCTCCTCTGCTGACTGGTAAACAGAATTAAATAAAATAGTGTTCTGCTTTCTCTAGCTAATTTTCTTATGAGACTACAGCTCTTGCTGACACTTAATTTGTACCCTAATGACTCTCTATGGAGTCCAGAAAGCCCAGCCAAGTGGTGCCCAGCCTGCTGCCCTACAGAAAGTGTGATATAAAATATGTGTATTAGTTTAAGCCACTGAGTAGATGGTAATTTGTCAGGTAGCATAGAAAGCTCATATATCAGGTAACATAGAAAGTTGCTAGCTTAGAGTCACTCTGGTGCAGAAATTGGGTCCAGACTGTTCCAGGGTGTAGAGGTGTCAGTGATGAGGAACAGATGCAGTGTGGATTCAAGCCAATCCTATGGGGGGAGTAGCAGTGCAGACCCACTAGGATTCTGGAGCAAGGCCATGCCATTACAATAAATAATTCTATTCCCCATGATCAATAGCCTCTGTTGATCTCAGAGGAGAGAGGAATCAGGTGGGGGAGGGGGCTTGATGAAAGAAAGTGACAAAATTATCCAAAGAACATATCTGCATAACCCATAAACACAGACAATAGTGTGGTGATGGTCAGAGAGAAGGGGGAGTGGGGGTTGGGTGGAGGTGGGCAAAGGGGGGATGTGGATATCTGTAATAGTGTCAACAATAAAAATGAAGTAAGAAAATAGCTTCTGTTGTGTTGGGTTCCTATAGAGAGTGTGGCAATGGTGAGTTGGTTGCTAAGGGCCCAGGGAAAACTTACATGAATCTAATTGGGTGGTATTTGGGCATAGTGAGACCAATGGATTGGTTGGTACCCAGTGGCTTTAGAGAGCTAAACATGCTTCTAAAATATATTTTTCATTTTTAAGATGGTATAGGCACAAAGAGATTATATTATTCAATTAGGTTAATATAAGCTTGAAAGGGTAGATTGCTCATATATGGAAGATAACACATTAGTTTCAAAAAATAAATCAATGTTTCCAAGAACAATAATGATTATTTTATGTGAAATGAAAAAGGCATAACAAAAGTTATATTATTTATGCATGTCAATGCATGCATGCACGTGCGTGCTCACACACACACACACACACACACACACACACACACATACACATTATGCATAGAAAATATAGAAAAATCACACAGCAAATGTTAACAGAAATGATCTCTGAATAGTTACATTTTAGCTTACTTATTTTTCCATTTGCTGTTTACTTTAGTCACCATATTTTCTACATCAATTTGTACATTTTATATAATTACATTTTTAAAAGAAATTTATAAGGTAGGCTTAATGAAGCATCATCTTCAGTGATTTAGAAGAAATTGCATTCTTATAAAAAATACACATAGGAGAGCATTCAGTCTAATTTGTGAGTTTGTGATATAAAAAGAAATAATTCATTAAAGATTCTCTAGGGTCAAAATCCCCAAGGTCATGGAAGTATACATAAGCCCTACATAAGTTCTGGGAGTCAGATTCAGTTTCCAAATCAATTTCAATCTCTCTCTCTCTCTCTCTCTCTCTCTCTCTTTTCTGGACATTAAGAAAGAAATATGTTGCCATTGCAACAATTAAAATTTATTGTAAACTTCTTCCATATTTACCAACTTCTTTAGATTTAAAATAATTTTGAATTCTGAGTGGGAACTTCCTTGGAGACTATTAATAGCAAAAACCAGAATCTTCAGGTGAGTTGGTTTCAGGCTCCGTGATCTGTCTTGTGTTCTCTCTCATTTATTTGGCGTGAATAAAGAAGGTTGACTACTGGGGGGTAGCTAGGATAAGGCTTTAGGTAAAACTGAGCAGAAGAATTTAGATTTGATAAATTAGCTACTAGGAAGAAATCAAAGTTTTCAGAGCAAAGCCTGTTATGATAATCACTGCAATCAAGGGAAGAAGAAATTGATGCTCTTACAGTGCAGTCTGGCAGCAGGGAAGCTGGCTGGTACCTGGCTACCATAATTCACCCGAGAACGATTGCAGTTCGCTAAGCCTCCCAAAGGCACCGACCTGCGGTTGTAAACAGAGGACAAGAAAGAGTCAGATAATAACGAGAAAGTAAAGGGGGAAACAGAGACAACTTGTGGAAGCAGAGTAATTGGTGAATTAAGACAAATAGGGCCAAGGGGGAGATCCAGGAAAGAGCGGAGCTAGCCTTAGACATTCCAAATTGTACCTAGATATTCATTGCTGCCCACTTTCATCCTTGATCTGTTTCTTAGATTAAAAAATAATATCAGGGTTTAAAAATAATACCAATTAGTCATAGCACTAAGGATAAAAAGAGGTGAGGATAGAGAAATCTGCATCTCCTGGCTCCCATGATTACCAGATTTTGTGCTCAGTATATTAATATCATTTCCTAATTTAATTTTTACACACCTATGAAATATCTATTATCATGTCAATATTATTGATAAAGAAATTGAGGCTTAGACAATTCCAGTAATTCACCGAAGATCACACAGTAAATGACAAAGCCTAAAACTGAATTTAAATATACGTTTTCAAATCCATGCTTTTTAAATCATGCTGATCTGTCACTAACTCCTTGTGCCTGCTGATTCCCTTTTCCTCATGTAGGAAATACATGTTTGGAATGGCACAAGGGGCATTTAGCTATGAAGGGTATAATAGTTTCTTTCTACCTTGATCTGGTCAGGCAAAACTAAAACAGCATCTTTGTTTATGAGATTCATAATAATTGTCTTATATTAACCTGAATATTTCAGACATGTGCATGCTATTGGTTAATGGTAAAGGAAGAGGGAGGTGAATGGGAGATATCTGTAATACTATCAACAATAAAAATATATTTAAAAAGAAAACAAACAAAAACTTGTTGCAGGATTAAATGAGATAACGTGTGATTTATCATGAGTCTTTAGTTGCAAAGGAAGGGAACCCAAAATAAACTGCAAAATAAAAAGAAAAAAATTGTTAAATGATTAAGGATATTTCTGCAGTTATGAACTGCTGTGAGTACAAGTTGCTTTTCCTTTCTCAAAATCACATATACAAATATAATAAAGATTGCATGACTCCAAACAAGATAATAACATATGTAACTTTAATCAAAACCCATCTACAATACTTAGAGTGGCAGGAAATTTTGAGGGTGATTATGTAACCATTGGTAACTATTACCATATTCTCTAGCTTCCTCTAGAGAGCCATGGTCAGCAAACTGCGGCTCGCGAGCCACATGCTGCTCTTTGGCCCCTTGAGTGTGGCTCTTCCTAAGCCTTAGGAGTAGCCTAATTAAGTTAATAACAATGTACCTACCTATATAGTTTAAGTTTAAAAAATTTGGCTCTCAAAAGAAAATTTCAATCGTTGTACTGTTGATATTTGGCTCTGTTCACTAACGAGTTTGCCGACCACTGCTCTAGAGAATATGAAAGGCTTGAGCAAAATACATTTTAAGTTGCTTTCCAATTCAGAGATCTTATGAGCATTTAATGCTCTGATATGCCTAATAAAATTATAAAATAAAAATAATAGCCATTTAAAAGTTAATAAGGAATCTAGATCAGTATGTGGACAGCATCAATGGCAGTAAGTGAGAAAAACACTTATGTAGGAAAGAAAAAAGGTGTGTGAGGGAACAACATGTCAAAGCTGTAACTTCATTATTTTACCAGGTTGCCAGATTGTTTGTAGAACACTAAGCCGATTATTATAGCTTCAGGATGAATTCATCAAGAGCTTGAAGATATACAGGATTATATTCTTTCAATATCCATTATATTTTCAAAGTTTGGAAACTCCTGTGGTGACTCACAGATGCTACCTTTCTTGTGACCCTCAGGTTGGACATTATGGTTCAACTCATGGTCTGTGGGAGACAGAACCATCCCTTCATAGGCTGCACATGCAAATAGAACTATTATCGCCTCCAATGCTGTTTGGAGATGAAAGTTAATATAGCTTCTTTTGTTCTTTAGATTCCACATATAAGTGAGATCATGTGATATTGATCTTTCTCTGTCTGGCTTATTTCTCTCAGCATAATAATGGAAAAGAAGGAACATCGGTAATACTTTCACAATCAGGACAAAAAGGAGTTAATAGAGCTTAATGTTTTTCCCAGCCACATGGTAACTGTGATATAAGTGTACTGTCATTATTATCATTGTTGTTATTTTTATCATTATTTCAGATGTTCTCCAGTAACAACCATGTTGTTAGCTGAAGGAAATCGGAGTGCCGGAGCCACATTCACTCTCTTGGGCTTCTCAGATTTTCCAGATCTCCAGGTGCCCCTGTTCCTGGCAT